GAATTTTTAGTTATAGGGTAATAAATTTATACCCTGAAAATTTTTGGTTCACCTTCAAAAATAATTACCCATATATACCTCCTTTCTTTTCTTTTTTCCTCTCTCCTTGTCAAAGTTGAATTTTTTTCTTCCCTCTAAAGTTTTTTCTTTCTAGGCCTCTTTTTCTTTTAAAACTACTGCTTTCCATCTCATCAACCCTTTGGCCAGTTGACTTCCTTTTCTCAAAAACCATATTATGAAGTAACAACTTCTTTGATGTTGTTGGCCTTAAGAAGTTTCTCGCTTCCATGATTTTTTAGAAAAAGGACAGATAGTTTACCCTTCAAAAGATCAGCATGGTTATTATTACCATATCTGACATTTTTTTTTTGTTGATGGTTAGACTAGATATATCTAAGAAGCCATTGTACAACTATTATTATCTGAACTCCCAGGGAGTTGTGCCCCACTGTATTCAGTAATATGGTAGCCAATACCAGTGTAGATTTCTATAAGTAACATGCTGGTATCTGGGATATCTAGTAAGATGACACATGACGACTAGAGATTCTAGTTACCCCTACAAACAGAGCTGGTGTTGACAACAGATGTTTCTTGATCACTTCTTGACAATGTAGATCTATATGTATGGTTAGATAATAATGCCTTTAAGAAATTCTAATTCAACTCTATCCATTGGACACTTCTGCCACACTTGGAAAATAGATATACCAAACTTTTTATATGACTTGAAGGCCAACCTGTGAAAAGTAGCTGTAGTGCCTTTATGTGTAAAAAAATCAACTTTTTCCTCTTCCACTTCTCTGCCTGCTGTACATTAAGTCAACTTTGAAAAGCAAGCATGCCAAATCCCATTCATGACTTGGAGGTTAATCTGTATACTTGGCTACAGCACCTTCATATATTTGGATACTTCTAATCCTTTCTAATTCATACTAGATATCTGTCTAAGTATTAAGTCTAGGGTTTAATATTATATTTTACTAGCACTTGGGTGAATTTATAGAAATAATACTTAAACGGTCAGGACTACTTTTGTTATGTCTTACATTAGACTTTTCTTAGCAAAAAGAGATATATATTAGTTTTCAGATTTGTAATATTGTCTACAGTAATCTCTTATAAATAATAAAGTTACTAATAGCTGTTCTGATATTAAAAAAATAAAATAAAATAATATATACTATTTTAGTTTATATTTTTACTTTATTTATTTATATTAAAAAAATATTTATATAAGAAAAGTTTTTTTTTTTTGAAAAATAATAAAATTGTCTAATTTCTTTTATATTTAATAAAGTTTTTTTTTATTAATTATAAACAATATTTTATTTACCCTCGATACTACTCTGCTTGTTATACATTAAACCATATTTGAAAAGCAGGCATATCAATTCTAATCATGACTTGGAGGCTAACTTGTATATATTGGCTGCAATGCCTTCATGTAATTAGGTATTTATTTAATTCTAGGAAGCTAGATGCCATTTATAATATAATATAGATTTTTGAATTTCTTTTTTTCTATATTTCTTGAATGGTGCTAAAAGAGCACAGAGGTTGGCCCTATATGGAATCCTTGTGTTAAACTCTTCTTAGCAAAGAGAGATATATGTTATGCTATTGGATATTATACTTTACTTTATAAGTGAAAGTATAATAAATATAATAAAGTATGATAGCCATTTGTTTTTTTCAAAAAAAAAAACAATATTTTATTTATAACTTTTTTAATATAAAATATTATTATATTTAATAATAACAAATGCTTTTTTTATTTTCTTTTTGTTTTTTAAAAAAAATATTTCTTTTACTTTTCTTAAATAATTTTTTTTTGTTTTTATTATTTTTTTTTCCTAAGTTCTATAAATATTTACTTAAGATTATATAAAATTGATAAAGTAAACTTGAAGTTATTATGAAGATCATTACAAGAACTATATAAAGAAATTAACAAGATACATCAAAAATTATATAACAAATTAAAGGAAAGACCATATTTTAATAATTTATCAAGTTTTATAAAAAAAAATTTATAAAATTATATAAGATTTTATATATAAAATAAATGATTTTTTTTGTTCCGGACTGTATATTTTATTATAGTTTGTAAATTTTGTATTTACAAATCTAAATTTATAATAAAAATAATATATGAAAACTGTCTGTTTCTTCAAAAAAAAAACCATATTATATTTATTAATATTAAAAACTTTTAATAATCTATATTTTTTTAGAAAAAATTAAAAAAATAGGTTTTTTATTAAAATTTATTAAAATTTAATTATAGTAATAGTTTCAATAAAAAGTAAAATATATAATATTTTAAAATATTTTGATAAAAATTAAAATTGTTTAAAGTTCTTTAACAATAAGTTTAAATAATATAATAATTATATTTTAAAAATCTTGAATATATATATATTTAAAAAGCAAATGGTTACTACACTTTATTTTTAATTATAATTTTAGACTTGCGGTACATAATCTTGAATATATTTTAGAATGAAAATTAAAAAAATAATTAATAATTTTTGGTTTTTTATATATTATAAAGTAATAATAAAATTTATTAAAAAAATTTTAAATTACGTATATTAAATGATCTAATATTATTTATTACAGTATATACATTAATTTGATAGGTGTTACTAAACAATCGGTATTTTAGGGTTTAGGGTCACGAGAAGTTATAATTATATGCGATGATAATTTGCAAATTTTAAGAATCATGATAGCTACTAAGATACTTAAGCAACGAGAGTCACTACCTGTAATTATTCTTACAAAATTCAAGTTTTTGTATTTTTATTGAAATTCAACTTACCCATTATATAGGTTTTTTCTTATAGGCAAGAAATCATCGATGCCATAAAGAAAGAAAATTTACTTGTTATAATTGGTGAAACTGGTAGGCGGTGTACTCCGACGAATTCTAGTTATATGAAACGTTACAAACTGGTTTGTATTAATTTAGGTTCCGGTAAAACGACACAGATCCCTCAATATATTTTAGAAGGTTTTGAGAATTGTAGGTTAATCGGAGTCACTCAACCAAGGTTTTTTAAAAATTCCTTTCTTTGGGGGGATAATAAAAAATTTTAAAGTTCCTGATCAACGTATTTTGCACTAAACCCAGACGTATAGCTGCTATAACAGTTGCAACCCGAGTGTCGGAAGAACACGGTACTAGATTAGGTGAGGATGTGGGTTATAGCATAAGATTTGATGATTGCACTTCATCAAAAACTCGGTTAAGGTATATGACCGATGGTGTTTTATTGCGGGAGGCGACACTCGATACGCAACTTGAACAGTATGATATAATTATTGTCGATGAAGGTCAGTGAATTTTCTAGACATCTCGTTATGGTCATTCTTCTATTAAATGTTATTAAAAATTCGGTAGCCCACGAAAGAACTGTGGAAACGGATGTATTGTTTGGATTATTGAAGGCAACACATCGTCTACGACCAGAATTAAAAATCCTAATAATGTCGGCGACTCTAAACGTTGAGAAATTTTCGGATTTTTTTAACGGCTGTCCCATATTTTTTATACCCGGGAGAACTTTTAACGTTAATATCAATCATCACCGTGACGCAAAAATTTCTAGTTTGAAATCGACATACGTACAACGTGCAGTTGAAACTGCATTATATGTTCACACACAAGAATCACCTGGCGATGTATTGGTATTTCTGACTGGACAGAATGAAATTGATAAAGCTTGTAGGGATCTTATAGCTCGTGAAAAAGATTTAGATTATAGAACTGATGTGAAGTATGCTGATGAGGTTCGAGGGATGGTAGTTTATCCAATATACTCCACCTTGGAAACTATGGAACAAAAGGCTATTTTTGATGATCCACCTCGATATACAAGGAAAATCGTCTTTGCTACCAATATTGCACAGGTAAGTATCAAATGACCTTCGATTTAAGATTATCTTACAACATTTTAAGCTTACGCTGAAATAAATTTAGACATCTGTCACTATACCCGGAATTAAGTAATTATTTAGTATTATTATGAATTGTTTTTTTAATAACAATTTAATAATATTTAATACTACACTTAATATAGGTATGTGGTTGACTCTGGCTTTGTAAAGCAGAAATCATATGATCCAACTACTGGGATGGATGCTCTTTTAGTTGTTCCGATATCGCAGGCAGCAGCGACACAGAGAGCTGGGCGTGCAGGGAGAACAGCACCTGGTAAGGCATTTAGACTTTATAGCCGCGAATCATTTGAGAAATTGGACGAAGAAACTGTGCCTGAAATTCAACGAAGCAGCCTTTTGAGTACGGTACTAAGTCTAAAGAAGATGGAGATCAAAGACATTCTCAATTTTGAATTTATAGATCCTCCAGATCCATTATTAGTAAAGAATGCTTTGAGACAATTATTCTTATTGGGGGCTATTGATAATGAAGGAAAACTTACTTCATTGGGTGATGAAATGTCAATTTTCCCATTGAGTCCATTCCTGTCGAGAGCATTAATTGCAAGCGCTAGACAATTTGGGTGTAGTAAAGAAGTTATGACAATTGTATCATTACTTTCTGTGGAGGAAGTTTTTATTTCACCACGGACCGAAAAAAAACAAACCGAAGCTGATGAGCGACGTAAAGAATTCTACCACCCATCTGGAGATCATCTGACACTGCTCAACCTATTTGAAGCGTATCAAGATAATGGACACAGTCGAGAATGGTGCAGAGATCGATATTTGAATCATCGAACCCTGTCAACGGCAAAGAACATACGAGATCAACTGAGAGAGTTAATGATAAAACACAACATTCCATTGATTTCTTGCCGAAAAAAAAATTCTCATAATGATGAGAGAGAAAAAAAGAAGAGAAAGCTCAATTATTTAGATGCAAAATATGATTCAATTAAAATATTGGAATCATTTTCGACCGCATATTACATAAATATAGCAAAAAGACATTCGCATCGTCCAGTATTTTATCATTATGCATCAGCGCGGTCACCTGGGAATGAATATGTAGATGCTAATTCGTCCCTACTGGCATTGCATATTTCACCTGTGTCAGCATTGTTCCCCGAAAATAGGGTGGTCAAAATGGATGATCTAGATTGGGTAATGTACCATAATATGTTATATACTAATAAGGCTTTGATGAAGGTTGTTAGTAGAGTAAATTTGGAATGGGTAGAAGAAAAGTTAAAATTGTTTAAGGAACTTGAGAATGCCAGACTGGATGGGTCAAGTGTGGCGAAAGAGAGTGAAGATAAAATCGTGGAAAATGATAGTGAAAAAAATGATGCAAAGAATAAGGAAGTTATAGAAGAAAATGAAAGAAAAAATCAAAGATTGGAAGCCATTGAAGCTGCCCGACAGAGAGCTTTGAACAGGAGAACAGTTAATGAATAGGTTAAATAATAGGATAATCTTCATTAAAATTTGATTTTTATAATATAGCAATTAAAAATTTGGATTAAAAAATATTTGAATAAATCGTGTCACAATAAAGAAATTAAATTGTTTTAAAATTTATATTAAATGATAATAAATATTTTTAATTATAATTATCGTATATAAATTTATTAATATTTTTAATTAAATTTATTTTTAAAATTATATACAAGCTTGAGATTATTAAAAATCTAATTTATATATATGAAACTCAAAAAACTTTTTTATTTTACAACTGTTATATATCTTGTTTATTTAATAATTTTGTAATAGCATATATCTGTAATATTATTTAGAACCATATTTATTAATAGGAATAACAATTTATTTAAACTTGATTTAATGTGTTAATAATATAGGAATTTTTAATTATAACTTTATATAATTAAATTTTTTTTTATAAAATTATCAATTATTTAACAATTTAATAATTTAATTTAAGTTAATTTTAAATTTTTAATTATTTATTAACTTATTGTCTTTTAATATTTTTGTATAAATAAAACTATAGTTTTAAATATATAAATAAGTATTAATATATTAAAATCAGTGTTGGTAAAATTGTACTTCATTGATAATTGTCACATTTTTTAATTATATTATTTACTAAAAGATATAATAAATAATATAATAAAAAGAAGATGACAATTATCAATGGAGCACAATTTTGTCAACTCTTAATTAGAATATATTATATAATAATAATAAACAAATTATATTATATTAAGTTTTTTAAATTTTTAATTAAGTTTAAATAATAAATATACTTTATATTCTTTGAAAAAAATGTTATTATTCTTTTTTTAAAAAATTTTTTTTTGTAATAAATAAGCTATAAATTCAAAACAAAATTTTTTAAATAATATTTTTTTAAGATAAAAAGAAATTAATATATATATATATATATATTTAATGTTGCAAATAAGCATAAAATACAAGACTTTTATTAAACAAGAATTTATAGCTATTATATTAAGTATTTATTAAAGTCAATACTAGCCTATTGCATATATAGTTTTTAAAAAAATTAATATTTTAAATTTAATTATACAGATTTATATTTAATTAAAGATTTATATATTAAATTAAATTTATTAAAAAATAAAAGTTTTATTATTATAGACTGTTTATGTATAGATAGTTGTGATCCTAATCAATTAATAATAAAATCCATGTATATATTGCAACTTAGCTTTTAAAAAAAAAAAAAAGTTTTATTATTATATTAAATAAAAACTCTTTCTCATTTATCCCTACTTCGTTAGAAAACTTTCTTTTTTGGAAATTTTTTTTTATTTCCCCTTCTCTTTTTCTGTACAAGATAAAATTCCAAGCAGGATAAGTCTGAGATATACTAACACCACATGAAACTCCTTTAACTGTCAAGATTCTACATCTAAAATAAGTATTCATATTTAAGAAAGCATAAACAGACCAACTCCTATATATAACAATAGTCTGAAACAAGGATTAGGAAGGTTTTAAAAGCTAAGTTGCAATATATACATGGATTTTATTATTAATTGATTAGGATCACAACT